GGAAGGAACAGGAGGGAACAGTTTGGGGTGATGGAATTGATCTCTATCTTGATTGTGGGGGGTTATGAGGGTATATAAATATGTCAAAACTGATAGAAACGTATACTTAAACGGGGTGCCTAGTACCACATATAAATTACACCTCAATAACATTGATTTTTTTCTTTTTAAACAAATAATGGGCCAAAATGGCAGGAAATTACTGCTTCTGAAAGCAGACTGAGTTCGGGAATAATGTCCTCTATGACAACACCAGCACACGGTCGTGTAGATACGGCTGATGACAGTTCTCGGGAACAAAATGATGATGGACAAATTGTGAATAACGGCGGTCCTCCACTACCGTCCATGATTTCACAGGTCAGATGCACATGAAACTAACTGTAACCAGAAAATGCAATGAAGCCATGCTGTGATGACTCATGGGGCGGGGAGTTACAGCCTCGGCTTTCTGGCAGGCTCAAGGGGTGAGCGCATGTTGCACGCCTTTGGCCGTAACTGCATGGAATTACAGCCAGCATGCATGATACGGATTTTCATAGATGGAACTTCCATGCTCTTCCCAGGAAAACAGCAAAACATCACTTGTTGACAGTAGTTTACTCTGCAGGTAGCTATCTTGCCCTTTCTGATTCTTGGTGCTGGTTAACATTAAGATAAAGAAAACAGGCCGGGCACGGTGGCTCTCGCCTGTTATCCCAGCACTTTGGGAGGCTGAGGCGGGTGGATCACCTGAGGTCAGGAGTTCAAGACCAGCCTGACCAACCCTGAGAAACCCTGTCTCTATGAAAAATACAGAATTAGCTGGGTGTGGAGGCGCATGCCTGTAATCCCAGCTACTTGGGAGGCTGAGGCAGGAGAATCACTTGAACCTGGGAGGCAGAGGTTGCAGTGAACCGAGATCATGCCATTGCACTCCAGCCTGGGCAACAAGAGCAAAACTCCGTCTCAAACAAACTAACAAATGAACAAAAATAGGCCAGGTGCGGTGGCTCAAGCCTATAATCTCAGTACTTTGGGAGGCAGAGGCAGTGGAATCACTTGAGACCAGGAGTTTGAGACCAGATTGAGAAACATAGCGAGACCCCATCTATACAAAAAATTTTTTACATTAGCCAGCCATGGTGGCACACACCTGCAGTTCCAGCTACTCAGGAGGCTGGGGTGGGAGAGTCACTTGAGCCTGGGAGGTCAAGGTTGCAATGAACTAATGATTGATTGAGTCCCTGCACTCTAGCCTTGGTGACAGAGACCCCAACCCCACCACTCACCCCCCCCCAAAAAAATAGGGCCAGGCACAGTGGCTCACACCTGTAATGCCAACACTTTGGGAGGCCGAAGCAGGCAGATCACCTGAGGTTAGGAGTCCGAGCCTAGCTTGGCCAACATGGTGAAACCCTGCCTCTACTGAAAATACAAAAATTACGCGGATGTGGTGGCGGGCACCTGTAATCTCAGCTACTTGGGAGGCTGAGACACGAGACTCACTTGAATCCGGGAGGCGGAGGTTGCAGTGAGCCAAGATCATGCCATTGCACTCTAGCATGGGCGACAAGTGAAACTCCATCCCAAAAAAAAAAAAAAAAAAAAAGGTCAGAGACTTCAAAAATAACCAGAATGATTCCAGACAACCTAGAAGGAGGGAACAGCTTCCTCTCACTCTCACTGGGAAATATGCAGAGATAAGATAATTGTCTTTATGACTCCGAAAATGCTTAAGACACGAACAACATGTAAACAAATAACTCCTACGAGAGCTTCTGAATTCACACATGATCCCATTTCATCCTTGCAAGAACACTGGGCAACAGATAATATCTTAAAATTTCCATTTTATAAATAAAAAATTCCCAGCCAGACGTGACAGTTCACACCTGCCATCCCACCACTTTAGGAGAGCAAGAGGAAAGGATCACTTGGAACCAGGAGTTCGAGACCAGCCTGGGCAACAAAGTGAGACTCTGTTTCTATAAATTTTTTTTTTTTTTTTTTTTTTTTGAGGTGAAGTCTTGCTATGTTACCCAGGCTAGGGTGCAGTGGTGCGATCTTGGCTCACTGCAACCTGTGCCTCCTGGGTTAAAGTGATTTTCCTGCCTCAGCCACCTGTGTAGCTGGGACTACAGGTGTGTGTCACCACACCTAGCTATCTATTAATATTTTTTTTAATTAAACTTCAAAATAAAGGCTTGGCATGGTGGCTCACACCTGTAATCCCAGCACTTTGGGCCGAGGCAGGCGGATCACCTGAGGTGAGGAGTTCGAGACCAGCCTGGCCAACATGGTGAAACCCCGTCTCTACAAAAAATATTTTAAAAATTAGCCGGGTGTGGTGGTGGGTGCCTGTAGTCCCACCTACTCGGGAGGCTGAGCCAGGAGAATTGCTTGAACCTGAGAGGCAGAGGTTGCAGTGAGTCAAGAAGATGCCACTGCACTCCAGCCTGGGCGATGGAAGGAGACCCCGTCTCAAAAATAAATAAATACATACATACATACATAAAGATAAAAATAAAGTATCTCTTCTCATTGCCATCATGTCTGAGTCAGAGTCTCCAAAGAGTCTGAACAAATAAAAAATTTCAGACTCAGGTCAGGTGCGGTGGCTCACGCATGTAATCACAGCACTTTGGGAGGCCAAGGTGGGCGGATCACAAGGTCAGGAGATTGAGACCACCCTGGCTAACTCGGTGAAACCCCCGTCTCTACTAAAAATACAAAAATAAAAATTAGCCTGGTGTGATGGTGGGTGTCTGTAGTCCCAGCTACTCGGGAGGCTGAGGCAGGAGAATGGCATTAACCCAGGAGGCAAAGCTTGCAGTGAGCCAAGATTGCACCACTGCACTCCAGCCTGGGCCACAGAGCGAGACATCGTTTCAAAAAAAAAATCCAGACTCAGAGAGGTTACTCGAGCTTACCTGCCTTGGATGTGACACCAACCACAGACGGGCTGAGGGGTCTGGAAAGAACCTTGCACTCCTGCTAAGATCACCAAGCTCTGCTTCCAATACTGCCTTCTTCCAACATCTCAAAGGGCTTATGAGGACCGTCCTAAGAAGGAGGCTGTAACTGACATTGATTATTCACCTCCCCCAAGAGGACCAGCATGGAGAATAAGCTCATCAAAGCCAATGCCCTTGTTTTAGATGCCTTCCAGATTATTCCAGGATCTCATCTCAGATAAGTGTCTATCTTAAGCTCTCTCTCCTGTTCACCGTCTAACGTCTCCCATGCACTGCACCCTCTAACTCAGGGCCTGACATCTGTAAGATCCCTAAATCTTCATCCTGTTCTGTAAGCAGCCCTTCAATTTCTACTTCACTGAAACATGACTATTCCCTCAGGACACTGCTTCCCTAAAGCACTGTGAGTAGTGGTCTTTTTCTGTCCCATGCAAGCCCCCATAAACCACGCTCTACTGTCTTAGAGAAGGAACACTAATTGCTGCATCAAGACTATTGTTACTTTCATTTCCGTTTTGCTTTTGTTTGTTTCTTTCGAGACAGGCTGTTGTTCTGTCATCCAGGCTGGACTGCAATAGTGCGATCATAGCTCACTGATCCTCGGACTCCTGGGCTCAAACAATCCTCCTGCCTCAGCCTCCTGAGTAGCTGGGACTACAGGTGCATACCACCATGTCCGGCTAATTTTTATTTTTGTAAAGATGGGGTCTCACTCTATTGCCCAGGATGATCTCAAACTCCTGGCTTCAAGCCATCCTCCCACCTCCACTTCCTAAAGTTTTGGGATTACAGTTATAAGCCACTGTCCCCAGCCCAGACTCATTTATCTAATTACTGACTTGACATCTCTACTTGAAGGTGTACTTAGCAATTGTTTTTTGTTTTTTGATTTTTGTTTTTGAGACACAGTCTCACTCTGTTGCCCAGCCTGGAGTGCAGTGGCATGATCTTGGCTCACTGCAACCTCCCCCTCTTGGGTTCAAGCAATTCTTGTGCCTCAGCCTCCCGAGTAGCTGGGATTACAGGCATGCACCAGCATGCCCAGCTAATTTTTGTATTTTTAGTAGAGACGGGGTTTCACCATGTTGGCCAGACAGGTCTCGAACTCCTGACCTCAAGTGATCTGTCTGCTTCGGCCTCCCAAAGTGCTGGGATTACAGGCGTGAGCCACTGCGGGGATTACAGGCATGAGCCACTGCGCCTGACCAGCAATTATTTTAAGAGTAGGGGTCTTGCTATGTTGCCAAGGCTGGTCTTGAGCTCCTGGCCTCAAGCGATGCTCCTGCCTTGGCCTCCTAAAGCGCTGGGATTATAGACATGAGCCCCTGTGCCCAGCAGGAGCAGTTTTTTAGTCAATTATTCACTTGCCCACTAAAACCTAAACTTCCTGAGGCCAGGAACACATTTTACTTTTTTTTTTTTTTTTTTTTTTTGAGATGGAGTGTAGCTCTGTTGCCCAGGCTGGAGTGCAGTGGCGCCATCTTGGCTCACTACAATCTCTGCCTCCCAGGTTCAAGCGATTTTCCTGCCTCAGCCTCCTGCGTAGCTGGGATTACAGGCATCCGCCACCACACCCGGTTAATTTTTATTTTTGGTAGAGACGGGGTTTCACCACGTTGGCCAGGCTAGTCTCCAACGTCTGACCTCAAGTTATCCGCCCGCCTTGGCCTCCCAAAGTGATGGGATTACAGGCGTGAGCCACTGTGCCCAGCCACGGGACCCACTTTACTCTTAATTTCCCCAAATCCTAGAACAGTGCGTGGCCCACAGGAAATCCACAGAATATATCTGCAGAATGAATGAATGGCTTGCCAAAAGAATTAGGGCAAATAAGTAGATAGTGAGTAAACGTCCACAGCCACCTACCCCATACCCTTTTAAGCTCTGGGGAGATGGCGGCTCCTGTGGGGTCCGGGATGGGGGGTCTCCGTTCCTTTCATCCTTCCGCCTCGTGGGGGAGTCAAGTATCCGCAGGCGGAGGGCCCGGATGCAGGCGCGGCTAGGCGGCCCTCTCTGTGGTGAGCCCCCGGGTCCCTCCTCCACAGCACCCGGAGTGCCTCTATGGTTCTTCCTGTCCTTAGTCGGGAGGGGGCGCTGTGCGCAGGCGCGAGGTGACGCCGCGGCAGGACCGGAAGGAGTGTAGCGGCTGCCTCAGCGGCAGCGACGGAGCTCGCAGCTGTGGCTTCTGAAGAGTAAGCGGCGCGGTAGCGAAGGCCGCCGAACCCGCCTGGCTAGCCGGCGAGTTGAGTGGCGAGTGAGTGTCGGTCGCGGGGCACGCTTGAGCTCCTGGACGGGTCTGTGAGGCGAGGCGGCCTCTCTGCGGGACGCCTCCGTGGAGCTCCGGGGGTGGGGGCGGGGGCGCCGGCCGTGAGGGCCGCCGAGCTGAGGGGCGCGGGCCGAGGCCCGGGCGGGATCGGGCCAAAGGACTGGGCTGGGCGTCTCGAGCCCGGTGCGGAGGCGAGGCGGGAGCGACAAAGGCGCTGAGCGACTGGGCGACCCCCTCCCGCCTCTTCGCGAAGTTTCGCGGGCCGGCCCTTTGGGTCGGCTGCGCGAGGGCGACAGCCCGGGAGACCGCGCTTCCCTCCCCCGGGCCCGAGGCCGCCACGGAGGCGGGGTCCGTGCACCCGAGCGCGGCCTGGAGGAGCGGCGGGAGGCGGCCGGTCCCTGTGAACCCCAGCCCAGGCGGGCGGCGTTTTCCACCTCTCCCCTCACATCTGGAGCGGGGGTTGTTCCGCGAAAGTTGGCGACTGTCACCGGGCACTCTCGAGGGCGGCGCAAGTGCGTCAAACCCTTCTGCGGGGCGCTGGGGGCTGGCCCGGCCCGGGTGCCCGGGCGCTGGGCAGGGAGCGAGGCCGCTGTCCCCGCGTCGAGGTGGCCCGGCTCCCGGTGTAACGGGACCAGGGATCCAAGACTTTGGGCCACTTGCAACCAACCCTGGAGCGTGCGCGGCGTGCGGGTTACAGAAATTTCTGACAAATCCGCCAGGGCTCTGTGCGTCCCTGAGGGCCTGGATAGCAGTTGTCCCCGGTACTTCGATCGTGCAAAGAGAACGTTCTTTTTTCTGTTCTTTTTTTTTTTTTTTTTTTTTTTTGAGACGAAGTCTTGCTCTGTTGCCCAAGCTGGAGTGCAGTGACGCGATCTCTGCTCACTGCAACCTCCGCCTCCCTGCGTCAAGGAATTCTGCCTCAGCCTCACAGGGATTGCTTCAGCTGGGATTCCAGGCATGTGCCACCACACCTGGCTAATTTTTGTATTTGTAGTAGAGACAGGGTTTCACCATGTTGGCCAGGCAGGTCTCGAACTTCTGACCTCAGGTGATCCCTTCTTTCCTCGGCCTCCCAAAGTGCTACATAGTCTTTTCAAAAAACGTGTCAGCTGTGTTCTCCCGGGGCCCTTGGGCCCTTCAGTAAGAAGCGCCCTGGCTGAAAACCCCCGTTCACCTACGGAAGCAGCACTGTGATGTAGAGGGTGAGCAGGGCAGAGGGCCTCACAGTGGCCCTCACACACACCTGGTTCCAGCTTGGCCAGGCGATTTTGCCCTCGTGGGCCTGTGCCTCATCTCAAAAATGGGGTTTCTTCCCTTATGAAGACGACCCATGAATTAATAATGGAATTGCCAGGAATGCTAAAAACTATCTAAGTTTGGTGTATTGTTTTCAAGCTGTTACTCCTGGAAGGGGCTGGGTTGGCATTGTTTTAGAGATTAGGAGCCAAATATCAGCTCATCTATTCTCCAGCTGTTGTTTATCCTCCAGCTTCCTGCAATAGTCAGGCACAAGGTCTTAGAAAAATGGGTTTGTGCTGCTGTATGTTTTGGTGGGCAATAGTTAGGCACACTAATATGTATCACCTTTGTTTACTGAATGGGATGCAGGTGGGGGACCAGAGCACATCAGCGTCCCTCGGAAACGGTGGCATTTAAATGTAGTATGTCCCTTCAGTTCCTCTCTGCCCCACCCACCCCAGCCCATTGATTGAGCTTTTTTTTTTTTTTTTTTTTTTTTTGGGGAGACGGAGTCTGGCTCTGTTCAGGCTAAAGTGCAGTGGTGTGATATCTGCCCACTGCAACCTCCACCTCCCAGGTTCAAGTGATTCTCCTGCCTCAGCGTCCCGAGTAGCTGGGATTACAGGCGTGTGCCACCACGGCCGTCTTAGTTTTTTTTTTTTTAAGAGACGAAGTCTGGCTCTGCTGCCCAACTCCTGGGTTTAAGTGACCTTCAGCGTCCCAAAGCGCAAGAATTACAGGCTTGAGCCACCGTACTCTTGCAGAACATTCTTTACACGCTGAGAAGGGAGAGAGGAACGGGAAGATTTTATGGAACATCTCAATTTAGTCTGCTTGCTTTGAGGAAGAAGGCTAATAAATGGCCTGGCTTTGCCTTGATTTTGTATTTCACAATTTATTGCACCTGGGGTATGGGGAGTAGTGGTGGGTTTCAGGAAATGCCTGGAGAGTCTAGGCCAGATTTTGCACCCCCTGGCAAACCTCATTGGAGGCTTTAGATTTTTACCCTGATTAGAGAAGCAGCAGCTAATAGAAGGGAACCCCTGAAGCTCTTGTGGAGAAATCTTAAAGAAGGGTTAGTTATGAGTGAGACAGACTAAAAGTTAATGAATAGAGTAGTTGAGAGAGCTGGTGTTTGCTAGCTGTCCCTCTGTCGCTAATTCTACTACGAGCTACTATTTAATGTGTTTACAAAATTCTAGGCATTCCTATATTTTAGATCTTTAGAGACATAATTCATTCTCATACCTGATGTCATCATTATAGCTGCATTATTGTCAAAGATAATAGAACGTAGCCAGGCATGGTGTGGCTCATGCCTGTAATCCCAGCACTTTAGGGGGCTGAGGCGGGCGGATCACCTGAGGTCAGGAGTTCCAGACCAGCCTGATGAAACCCTGTCTCTACTAAAAATACAAAAGTTAGCCAGACGTGGTGGCGCATGCTTGTAATCTCAGCTACTCGGGAGGCTGAGGCAGGAGAATCTCATGAACCCGGGAGGCAGAGATTGCAGTGATCCAACATCGTGCTATTGGGCTCCAGCCTGGCTGACAGAGCGAGACTCCGTCTCAAAAATAGTAATAAACTTTAAAAAAGAAACTGAGGTGCTGAAAAATACCTAGTCTCAAAACTTGTAAGGGTCAGCTTGGAACTTGAACTCAGTTTGGACCCAGAGTTCGTGCCAGTAATTATCCTGCTATAATTAGTGAGTGCTATTTATTCTGAAAGTACATCTACTATTGAAGAGCATCTACTATGTGCCATCCGGTGTGCTACGTCCTGGGGCTTTGGGATCAAGTAACACTTTGGTTCTGCCTTCTTGGAACTTAAGTTTTAGCAGAGGAGACCGAAATTACACAGTTTCCTAAATAAGTATATGAAATTATTGTTGTAAGTACTTTGAAGAAATGAGGTACGTTGTGTGATTGAACTAGGGAGGAACATCTAGGGGATAGTCAGGAACAGTTTTTCTCTGAGGAGAAAGCAAAGAACCAAATGGAGTTAATTTGGTCCAAGAGACAGTGAAGAAGAGTAGTCCAGCTGGGGAAGAGCCTGCAGTGGAAGGAAGAAGCAAATCGTGGAACTGAACCATTGCTACTACCGAGTGGTGAATGCGGGGGGAAAAGGTAAGGCCCGCTGTCAGCAAGGTCAGGTGATGGTAGCGTTTTGTAGGCCATGGTAAGGATTTTGGTTCCACCACGGTGAGATTTGTGGTTGGAGCCTGCAAGGCAGTACTTGGGCTAGAAGCAGAAGCATGTCCTTTGGTCACAGAAGATTCAGTTCTAAAAAGATAATTGAAAACATTGATTTTACCCTCCACCCATGAGGATGAAGAAAATCTTGATGTTTTACGTTAAACTGTGTAGCCCGCCCACTGAAGATACTGAGTTTAATTTTTGATTTAAAACCTTTCCTATTGTAAAAATGCACTGATAATAGGATTCTTAGAATTTTTAAACTCTAGACTAATTGTTTGCATATTTATATCCATAATCATGGATGTTATTTTACTGTAGTTAATTTGTCCACTTATTAAAGTTAACACAATTTTCATTTTCTTTCTCTGAACTCATCATCTGCTTTGTTCTTCCTTAATAGCATCACCATCCTATGGTCACCTGATCTCAGCATCTAGGTCAACTTTGATTCCTTCTTCTTGCCCTGATGGCCAATGACATACACAGATCCCGTCGACTCTAACTCTGCAGTCAGTGTCTTGTATTATTTTCCTCCCTGTAGATACTGTTTTCCTCCCCCTAGGTACTGTTGGCTCTTGTTTCCTGGGTTTCCTGGCACCAGTTGTCTCCTACAGGCCATCTTACGCATTGCAGCCAGGTTGATTTTTCTAAAGCACAGCTGTCATTGCGTTGCTTCCCGTTGGCTAGAAAATAAAATCTGAGCTCTGTTTCAGTTATCTGTTGATGCATAACAAACCACCTGAATACTCACTGGCTTCATAGAGTAATTTTGTTTGTTGACAGTTTTATGAGTCAGGAGAATTGGGAAGTGCTGACCTGGGCCATTTTTCTCTGGTCCACATGCTATCCTTAGAGGTGGCCAGTGCTGGAGCATCCGCTTCCATAATGGCTTCTTCGTTCACATGCCTTGTCGAAGACGGCTGGAAGACTGGTCTCAGCTGGCTCTTTCCCTCCGCATGTAGTGTCAGGGCTTTCTGTGTGATCTCTCAGCAGGGTTTTCAGACTTTTTACCTGATGTCTCTGGGCCCAGGAACCCTAAGTGAAAGCCGCTGTGCCTTTTGTTTTCTTTCTTTCTCTTTTTTCTTTCTTTTTTTTTTTTTTTTTTTTTGAGACAGAGTCTCCTTCTGTCGCACAGACTGGAGTGCAGTGGCACAATATCAGCTCACTGCAACCTCTGCCTTCTGGGTTCAAGCAATTCTTGTGCCTCAGTTTCCAGAGTAATTGGGATTACAGGCATGTGCCACCGCACCCAGCTAATTTTTGTATTTTTTTTTTGGTAGAGTTGGGGGCTGCTGTGCTTTTAAAGGATAAGCCCAAATCTGACACAGCTCTCACTTTGGCTTGAAATGGCTATTCTTGCTCAACCTTCCCTGGCTACCTGCCCTTCCCCTGTAGTCTCTTTATTGCTCTAGTAACTTTATTCTCTGATTGATGGGGCTCTGAGTTCTTTGAAACAAAAATCCATGTGAGAGTTTCTTTTGATGTATTCCCGATGATGCATAACCAATTCTTGTTATATAAAATGCTGTAGTACAGTCAGCTCTCCGTATC